TTGTGGACTTGCCCAAAAGCAAAATAATCCTGGAATAAGATATAGATCTGGCTACATGAAATAACAAGTATAAAGATAGTACCCAAACCTGAAATGTTTTTATTAGGGATAACCAAAGAAGAATATACAAAAGAGAATGAATGTCTAATGATACATATCTTAACAGAGGCTAGGATACTATATGCTCAAACTTGGAAATTAGACAGTACATCCACAGATGACAAGATTATAAAAAAAGAGTAATGAATTGCACAGAAATGAACAAATTCACAATGGCATTGTGGAAGAGGAAAGATAAAGAATTCTATATATATATATAAAAAGAAAATATAATGCAAAAGGAGAAACTTTAAAGTGTAATTGTAAATAATGTATGTATGTGTGTATGTATGTATGTATGTATGTGTTGTGGCTCTGAGGTTTGAGCTTGCTTTGCTAGAGGACGAAGACTCGGACAAGGGGGAAGAGGAGGTTTTGGAAATGCCTTCCTCCCCAGGACCTTCCTCTTCCGCAATGCCTTCCTCCCTGATTGTGCCTCAGATGTCGGCAGATAACTGGGAGGGAAGACCTAAGACTAATCAGGAAAAGGAGGAGGGCATATCAGAGTCTCTGACTGAGAATCAAGCAGAGGAATGTTGGCTTGATGTGAGGCAGCATCGCAGGCGAAAGTGTGAGCTGCAATGCAGAAAGAAGGGACGAATCAAAGACTGAGCTGAGGGACTGACACCCCCACAGGGTTTGCTCTGGGAACTTCATTAGGGACAACGTGTGACTTATTCAGAGGAGCTCCGGATTATTCTGTGTGGTGAGAGCTTGTGTGATTTATATTCCTGCTTTCTTGTCAGACTTGGCAGACAGTGTGTGTGAGACTGCCAAGAACTTTATCAGTTCAAGGAGTTAACTCTATAATTACTGGATTTGCTTGCTTGTTTGTATTCAATTGGAATTTAGACTTCTCAACTCCTTTGTAAAGGTGAGACATAACATTTTTGTCCCGAACCATAACAAAAACCATCTTTTGACCAAGATGGATCAACAGCAGCAGCAGCAGCAGCTTCACCAGCTGCAGAACGAAAACCAGGTTTTTCAACAGCAAGTAACCCAGCTCCTTCGAAAGAAGGTCCTGTTCCAGTGGGGGGGCCCGCAGCAACAGGCCTTTGAGGCTCTCAAGAAGGCCTTCATCGCAGAACCTGTCCTGAGGCATCCTGATCCAAATCGTCCATTTGTGGTGGAGATGGATGCGTCCAACGTGGCTATTGGGGCTGTGTTGTTGCAAGCCCCGGGAGATGGCGCATCTCTTTTTCCCTGTGCTTACTATTCCCGGAAACTCACTCCTTCTGAGCGCAACTATACTATCAGGGAAAAAGAGTTGCTGGCTATCAAGGCTGCGTTTGAGACCTGGCGACATCATCTTGAGGGCGCCTGGCACAAGGTGGAGGTTCGGACGGATCATCGTAATTTGGAACACTTGTCCACGGCGAGGAAGTTGAACCAGCGACAGATCTGGTGGTCGTTGTTTTTTGCCCGGTTCAACTTTTCTGTGACCTATATTCCCAGTGGTCACAATCGGAGAGCAGATGCCCTGTCCCATAAGCCTGAGTACCTTTGCCCCGAGGACTCCCTTCCTCCATGGACGGTGCTGCCAGCAGAATTTTGGCCATTGTCCAGGAACTGGTGGATTTGCAGACTCGGGTGCGAGAGGCGCAGGGCTTGGACGCTTGGTCACAGCAGAGGATGGGGGAGATTGGACCTGACTCCCCATGGACTTTGGAAGAGGGCTTACTCCGACATTGGGGCTCGTTGTACGTGCCCACGGGGCCACTTAGAGCCCTTATTATGACTCAATGTCACGACAATCCTGCTGCTGGCCATTTTGGGTTTTTTAAGACCCTTCATCTTGTCATGTGGACGTTTTGGTGGCCTCGAGTCCGGCATGATGTCCACGCCTATGTAGCATCCTGTGTACCATGCAGGCAAGAGAAAGCCATGACGGGTGCGCCTCCTGGTCTTTTTCAACCTCTGCCGACTCCGGACAGACCATGGGGGCAATTTCATGGACTTCTTAACACATTTGCCCTCTTCATCTGGATATACGATGATACTCGTGGTGGTCGACATGTTAACCAAGATGGCCCACTTTATCCCCTGTCGGAAATTACCGTCGGCTCGTACTACTGCCTGGTTGTTTTTGCAGCATGTGTTCCGTCTTCATGGTCTGCCGGACAGGGTAGTTTTGGATCGTGGTGTCCAATTTACCGCTCAATTTTGGAAGAGCCTGATGACTGCGTTGCAGGTGCAGGTGTGCTTATTGTCGGCGAGCCATCCGGAGACTGATGGTGGGACGGAGAAGGTGATTGGCATCCTCGCACAATATTTACGGTGTTTTATCAACCACCAACAGAACGATTGGGTGACTTATCTCCCTCTGGAGGAGTTTGCCTTCAACAACTCCCAGCACACCTCCACCCAAATGACACTTTTTTACGCGAATGTCGGCTTCCATCTGAGGTTTTTCCCATTGTCGCTCTTGGATTCCCTGGTTCCTGAGATGCAGGATTTCTTTTCGGAACTGCATTCTGTGCAACAATTGATTCGACAGCAATTGTTACGGGCTAAAGAGGACTATAAAAGGTTCAAGGATCGCTCTCACCGGGCGATGCCCCCGCTGGCTGTGGGAGACCGGGTGTGGTTATCCACGAAACATCTATGGGTTGACCATCCGATCAAGAAGTTGGACCATCGATTCATCGGTCCCTTCCCTATCGAGGCGGTCATCAATCCTGTTGCTTATCAGCTCACCCTACCGCGCTGCATGCACATTCATCCTGTCTTCCACCATTCCCTTCTGGTTCCTGATGCCCCTTCGTGTGCTCTCCATTCTCCCGCTGCTACAGTTCCTCCATCTGTACCCAGCGATGATCCCGCTGCTGACAACACGGTGGTCAGCATTCGGGATTCTCACTGGCTGAAAGGACGGTTTCAATACTTTGAGAGGCTGGGGGATGGACCGGAGGCTCTTTCCTGGGTGGATGCTTCCACGTTCCATGCCCTGGACCTTATCCAGAGATTCCATGAACAGTTCCCATTGAAACCACGTCCTGATCGTCAGACTCGGGGGAAGGGCCCTGCGGTGAGGGATAGTGTTGTCGCTCTGAGGTTTGAGCCTGCTTTGTTAGAGGATGAAGACTCGGACAATGGGGAAGAGGAGGTTTTGGAAATGCCTTCCTCCCCAGGACCTTCCTCTTCGGCAATGCCTTCCTCCCTGATTGTGCCTCAGGTGTCGGCAGATAATCGGGAGGGAAGACCTGAGACTAATCAGGAAAAGGAGGAGGGCGTATCAGAGTCTCTGACTGAGAATCAAGCAGAGGAATGTTGGCTTGATTCGAGGTAGCGTCGCAGGCAAAAGTGCGAGCTGCAACGCAGAAAGAAGGGACGAATCAGAGACTGAGCTGAGGGACTGACATGCCCCACAGGGAATAAAAGTGGGTGTGTTTGCTCTGGGAACTTCGTTCGGGACAACGTGTGACTTATTCAGAGGAGCTCCGGATTATTCTGTGTGGTGATAGCTTGTGTGATTTATATTCCTGCTTTCTTGTCAGACTTGGCAGACAGTATGTGTGAGACTGCCAAGAACTTTATCAGTTCAAGGAGTTAACTCTATAATTACTAGATTTGCTTGCTTGTTTATATTCAATTGGAATTTAGACTTCTCACCTCCTTTGTAAAGGTGAGACATAACATGTATGTATGTATGTATGTATGTATGTATGTATAGGAGAATGGTATAACTGATCTCACAAATAACTGCAAAAATGTATATAGAATTTGGTTTTTTTTAAGGTGAAAATTTAATAAACTTTATGTAAATCGGCACAGCAGAACAACTGGTGGTCAGGGCAAAGAAAGGAAAAATAGCAACTTAGCAGGCAAGTTTGATGGCACACATGCCAGGTAAGGAGTGAGTGGGCAGGGAGAGGAGAGGTCAGCCAGTGTTGCAACTTGCCGGTTTCCCGAACTGGGCAGATCATAACAACCGGTTCTATAGAACCGATCCGACCAGGTAGAATCCCACCACTGGTATATTATCTTTAACTGTTAAATTTATGGAAATAAAAAAATAAATCTGTGATATCTGGGAAGTCAACAAAATCACTATCTCTATAAGAATTAGCATATTCCACAAGAAAAAAAAATGCTATTGCTTTTGATCCATAAGAGTATGTATGTTTCTTAAGTACAATGTTACTAAATTTAACCTGTAAAACTACCAAAGTAGCAAGTGAAATTTTGATTTAGCAAACTCTCTCTTATATTTAGGGAGTAAGCAAAAAAGAATAAGCCATCCAGCTGGAAAGATGGATGAGCCACTCTCCGATTCTACCAATTTAGGATCTAATTTCTTGTTGAAGCTTTACATCTTTAATATGTTGTTTTGGAGCAATTATTGCTTATTTATAACACAAGGAAAGTAAATATTCAGGAGAAAATCCAAGGGAACAGAATTTTAAAACTATACACTGTTTTTACCTAGATTAGAATTTATTAAGATATATAGACAGTTAGACAAGCCAATTGGGGAAAAATATTTTGACTTAATTATTTTTATTTTATATCTGGGAAGAATTATTTGTAGCCAATAATTGGCAATTGGTATCCAACCTCTAGTTTCAACTTTCTACAGCCCAATCATCTGCTATACCTCTGGATAGCTGTAAAATTCTGCCACGGAATTTTATCTGTAAGGATTCCATAATTGAAATAGGAGATAAATGAGCACCATACAAAAGTTGGGATGCTGATTTTGTTTACAACAATTTAATCCTGCCAAATACCAATTCCCCCACCTCCATTCTTCATACAGAGAAAAAAAAATCAAAATAGCTGTTATGCTCCTTTTGATTTCCTGTGCTGTATGTGCCATTTGTGGATTTAATCTTTGTGATGGAATCGCCAGCCAGATTTGAGGGAGGGGTCAAGAGGCCAGAAGAGACAAAGCTTACCTCATATATATCTTTCATCCAGTGTGAAATTCCTTGAAAGCTTTTTCCATCTGTGATATCATAAACAAGAACAAATCCATGTGCTCCTCGGAAAAAACTAGTAGTAAATGTATGAAATCTTTCCTGGCCAGCTGTGTCCCTAAAATACATTATAATAGATAATTAGCACCAGTTTTCACTGCAGAAATGTAGACAAAGAGCCATATGCACTCAGTGCAATTACAGTATCTATGAATTAAAAGTAGAAACAGGGCTGAGTTATTTAGGTATTTTAGCCTTCCCCTTCTACACAAGAGAGTTGATCCAGAGTAGATGCTCTGCAAAACTGGAACTATGGCTATAGAAAATATTCTTAATCTAAAGACTTTTGCCCTATGAAAAAAAGTTTCTTTTCATCTAGTTTATGGCCTATTCTGAATACACCAGAATCAGTCTGGTGCTGCAGTTAAGGTACTAGACTATAATCTGGGAGACCATGAGATCTAATCCTACTCTGAGGCCTAAAGCCACCTGCGTAATCTTGGGTCAGTTACTCTCAGCCTAGGAAGAAGACAATGGCAAATCGCCCCCAAATCTTGCTAAGAAAACTGCAGGGCCTCACCAGGAGTCAAAAACTGACTGACAGGTATAGTCAGTCCATGTGCATATACATATTAGGTTTGTAAATATATATATCCTGATGTATACATCAAGAATCTATATATATTCAAGGATGACATGGAGGTAATGTAAATGGTTGTTATGGGGAAATATCCACCCTATAGGATAGACCAAACAAAGGAATTGATATTGTATAGGCTTAAAACTTCCTTTTTTAGAATGATAGTTAGCAGTAGTATTGGGGAGAAGGTGCTGTCTGAATTGTTTTTATAATCTTTTTCTTGGTTTGACCTTAAATCAGGGGTGGAATTCTACCAGTTCGTACCTATTCGCTAGAACCAGTTAACATTCTAAGCAGTTTGGAGAACCGGTTGTTAGAAGAAATTACTGGCCTAATCCTGTAAGGAGTCAGGAAGGAAACATTCTGAAGTTGCTTACAGAAACTGCCTCTCTGTTAACCCTTATTACATTCTTGGCAGGACTAGACTTCCTGTCTCTGGAACTACTCAAGAGTTTTTCTCCTCCTTTGCTGGTACTTTGCTCGTGTGGAGTGACCATTCAAAGTTATAATGGCACTGAAAAAAGTGACTTATGACCATTTTTCACATTTACGACTGTTGCAGCATCCTCACAATCATGAGAGGCCAGGCAAGGAGATGCGTGCCTCGATGTGAATGATATTGAGTTGACCACGCCCAGCCAATAACATGACCACCAAGCCATGCCCACCAATTAAGCCATGCCCACAGAACCAGTTGTTAAAAAATTTGAATCCCACCCCTGCCTTAAATCATACATATCTGCAGATCTCATTATCTACAGTCTTTACATGTGAAACCCACAAATATTTTTAGATGTAAAACGATGCCAAATAATTCAGATATGCTGGTAGCTCTAGAAGACAATGGAGGCATTCACAAGCACAATTGGTATCTACTGGAACATTAACAACCTTAATCTACTGGTTAGTGTGCATTTGAAAACAACAATATATTAATTATGCTTTTTTCTCTGCTAAAGAAGGCTATTAGAAGACCAAAACTAATTACATTCCTTATAAAACTTACCATATTTGAAGTTTCATAGTTGTGTTATCACATGAAATTGTTTTCTCTTTAAAATCAATGCCTAAGAAGAAAAATGCAAACTTATGAATGTAACTCTAAATAAGAAAGCAAATCAAATGACGAAGAAAATAAAATCATCTTTTCAAGGGGAGTACATAGTAAAAGAGCAATTTTCACGTAAATGGAAACTCCACAGCTGTATTTTCCCATTGAGAAATCATCTCATCATCAGAAACATTCTGCAGTATACTCTAACCAAATTAAATTATCTTTTTGCATTTAATGCATATTTAGAAGTCTGGTTTAGTTTAAGTTCAACAAGTGATCACTTTATTAACACTTCAATTCCAGAAAGACAACATAAAAATGAAAATTATTATCTAAGTCCAATACATTGATATTTCTGCACTGTAAGATCTATAAAATAAGAATAAAGTGTGCCCTTATTGTAGGGAGCCAGCTGTACAAATTAATGGTTGAATTCCTTTTGAGCAATAGCTGAGGCAGCATCTAAAAGGGCACAATAAAAACAGGAAGGTCACTTTCAAAATACTGGGTTGGAAATGCTTAAAAAATAATAAGTCAACAGGGGATTTCCAGTCCTACAGAAAACATTTTATATTTGACATAAATTTTAATAATAAATTGACATGAGGTTTTTATTTATAAAAAGACAGCTAAAGTGCTGAATCAGACAAAAACTTAATCTAAATTAAAATAAGGCATATTGACTGCTTAAATCAACTTTACATTTATTGACCTAAGGGTCAATGAATGTTAGTGAAAAACAGAAGTCAATAAGCAGTGCATGCATGAGTTATTCATAGCTTTATATAAAATTTTAAACAAATTTCACAAAAGGACAAGGTTGAAATAGGGAAAGAGAAAAAGAAATAAGAGCACGAATTGCATCACCAATAGTACTCAGCAATCCAGTTGCATGGCTGTAAAAAAGTTAAACCTATCAAACTGTATCTTCTCTAATTTGATCCTGCCTTTTTAATATAAATCTGATACACAACAATCCAAATCTAATTCTAAGAGTCTAATTCTAGACGCCTTCAACACTTGAAGTGGTAAATGAGGAAGGAGACACTTAGACTTCAACATCTTATTCTTTCCAGTATGGATGAACCTTAGCAACTTGAAAATGGGTGGACTTCAACTCTGGGAATCTGCCAATTTCCAAGGTTAAAAAACACTGAATTATCAAGTACGATTGAGATCTTGAAAAAGAATAATAAATGACACACTGTATATATTCAGTTCCTAAACAAAATGTTCCTTTCCTGGGTAGCTACTAACTGGAGATGAAAATGCAGAAAATTTAAGAGGGGTGTTTAATCCATCTCCACATTTTTGCCGGACATTTTCTAAGCTAACTCAGTCAAGACTAACTTGCATGCTACCATGCAAGAAGATGAGGTTTACTCATATGTGTTGATAAAGTTACACGCTTTTCTACATCTTGGGTTTTTCCAATCATATTGATGCATCTCTTTTATTCTTCCATTGGAAAGAAGGAGATAACATACTATTGTTATAACAATTACTGTATTCTATGCTCGGGTATACTTTCTGCAATACAAAGTTAATGGATCTCTCTCTTGTTAAAAATCTGGCTAGTGTTCAAACAACAGTACATCTACTTCCTGCTCCACTTAGCTATATGCAAATAAAGAAGCAATTCTTATGATGTCCAAGAAAGGAAAATGACATTAATCCATCTAGCCCTTTAACTTTCCAAAATCCATATTCTAGCTGCCTTTTGCTGTTTTCCAAAAAGTACAACTTTTCTTTTTCATCCTTAAACCTACATGAAATTTCTTTCATTAAGGCTAGAAGAAGATTCTTCTGACAGTGTAATAGAATTGGATATTTGGGAGATTCTTAACTTTTAAGAAGTCAATAATAAGCAGCTTCCTAAAGTAATTAAGAGAGGAAGTGGGGGAACCCAGTGTCTCTTTGAACGTTAGGCAGGATGATTTTTTAACATGGCTCCCAAAGCTCTCAAACCTGCTGAAACCACTATTTTACAATCTCTTTGCAGGGAAATTCTGTATGGAGCAAATTTGTGGTTGGCCCTTGTCCTCTTCTTGATCCAGAAAGGAATTTTGAGGAGCTGATACATTCACTGGGTTTCATTTTCACCAATCTGCCATTGTTGCCCTTGGAAGTCCAAACAGTTATACATTTCTCAATTACATGTGATGTTTAAGTGTATGTTCATCTCCGAGTAGATGAAAAGATGTAATGGAATGTAGGAATGAACTTGGGGAAAGAAGGGAAGAGACGCTGCCTAGGAAACAATCAGACAAGAGAGGCACGAGTCCCCGGTGGCTTAATAGTCAGAGAAAAAAAATCAGGAAGAACCTGCCCTAATGCATCAAGTGGTTAAAAATAGTGGCAGGAAGTTTATGCTTTCACTTACAAGATTCTATTAATGTAGTCTTACAATAAAATAAAATTAGTTCATCTTTTCATGTTTCCTGTCTGGTTTGCCTGGGTGGGCTGACAAAAGGACATTTGGGACAGTATAAATAAGTATGTAATTATCTGAAAATTCTAGGAGGAAAAAAGAAGGCAAGAAAGCATTTCAGTATTGCCATAAAGCAAGTGAGAGAATGTTCACAAAAACAGATGAAAATACATGATGCAACCAGCATATTTGGCCAGTATCTGGATGGGAGGCTGTGTAATATATGTGTGGCTGTTTATGTATCTGTATATGGGGAGTATGCAAGGAAGAAGTGCAGAATTGAACTCTTGGCTTTTTATGTTAGCAAGGATTCTATCAATAGGTAAAAAAAAATTGCCTCTACTTTGAGAACAAAGATGAAATAAAGGATTCTGTTGGTGCATAATTCCTCTGTAGAAAATAAGTTTTGCTTCTAAAGAGTTCTAAAAACTCAGTACTTTCCTGTATATACTTCTCAATGTGCTAATACAATATTCATTGCAAGAAAATATGTCACAGAATATTTCAAAAATTTATTTGGCGAAGCATCTCCTTGTTCACTTGGACATGCAAATCTTTCTTCCCATAAACTTTTTCCCTGGTGTTCAATGAGGTGCCATTGTTTAAACAAAAAACAGTTATTCTTTATAGTCTGCTATTCTCAATGTGATGAGTCTGCCTTATGATCCGTATAAGTTTAATTAGAAAACTATAGCTGCTTATAATTCACAAAAACTGCATAATTGAAGAGGAAGAAGGGCAACCATCCCTGAGAGTTTAAGTGCTGAATAAAGTGCTTTCAATGAAAATTTACTGTGAATGCTTTTTTGTTTTTTTAAGGAAAGCAAATCTTGAACAACTAAACGCTACTACCCACAGCTGCAACCCTCCAATATTGCTAGCAAATTAGCAACATGCAATTATAACACTGGAATTGTGAGCAGGAGTTGAAGTGCCCCAAACTATGAGAAACAAGCATTTAAGCATCAAGAAATGACATTTTATCATATTATCTTACTCACTGTATTCCTTTGTCTCTAAGCAAAGTGAAGGAACTCCCATTTCTTTCAGAGAGGATATTCTAGGGGGAGATGAGAGAGGACTTTGAAATAAAAAGAATCGATGCCTCCAATTGAGATATGATCTGACGTTTACATAATTCCTTTTTGAAAAATGGACACTGAGCTCTTGCTACAAGTTGTGTGGTATTATATTTGCAGAATCCATCTAAGAAACAGAACATTCCAGCTTAAAACCTGAATCCCACTCTGCTTCTCCCTCAGGCATTATGTGGGTTTCTTCTGTATCTCTAATAAGTTGAGCTCACTGATGTTTAATCATTTTTGCAACAGTCGAGGAGCAGCAATAGAGTCATTCACTTGTCTGACTCTCCCCTGCTCCTATCCCATTAAACAGCTTCACTGGTGGGCCACTAAAATGGACGGCTTTCTCTTACTTTTTAAAAAGGGAGAAACTGACAAGACTTTTACTTCTAACCCAACCATGGTAAGAGTAGTAAGGCAGTGTGTGTTCCACAGATAGATGCACCAAACCAGAAGATGTCAAGTACTAGGGAGTGGAGGAGGATTACTATAAAAGTTCTAACAATGGAAAGCACTTGCCTTCACTGTGGCACTTGCTCTCTTAGCATGGATAGGAAAGATGGCTAAAGAAGCAGGGAAATAACACCGGTTGGATGTACTGCACAAGCACCTTTAGTACAACATCATTGTCAAAGCTGAAGAATGAGTTGTAACTTGGACAACTACTTTTTAATCCAGGTTATTTCCAGCCAATTTTACCATGGGGTCAGTAACTAAGGCGGCTGTGCAGGAGAGTCCTAAGACTGGTAGCCACTGCCCATTTTTCAGATAGGGAGCAAAAGAGCAAGGCATGACTACACCTTATTACCTACAATATTATATCAAGGTGGGGGAGAATGAGAGATAATAAGCATAAACCATATTTTCTGGTAAAAGAATCATAGCTTGAGCTGCAAACAGTGTCTCAGCAATTTTTTTCATTCTTTTCATTCAGATATTAGACAAAAGTCACAATAATATACACTTTTAAAACCACAATCCAGCTTTGACATGGATCCCGGCACCATGCTGATGTGAGCACAGCAATCACATCAGCAACTGTTCCACTATGTACAGTACATTCTACAACTTGGTTGTGCATTGCTCTATAGCCGACATACAACAGATGTACATAATGCAGATTGTGCATTACTGTGTAGCCAATGTAAGCAACCGGTCTGCAGATTTTCACCTATGCACACTTTGTTTTAGCTATGCCTTAGCTAGAAAACAATTTGTAAAAGAGGATTTTAAAACTAGTCACATACTAGTTTTAAACATCACGTCCAGCTGAAAAGATCAGTCCACAGCACGCACAAAGCTGCTGTATCTAAAACCTTCAAGAATTAGCTTTAGATGATACTGCACATGATTGATTTATAGTATAAAATATTATGGATCTTATCTATTTTAACACTGAAATGATTCCTCAGGCATAAACATTTCAGTCATATTAAATGAAAGTTCTGCTTGTTTATGTCCCTTTATTTCAAATCTAAAAGTAACTCATTTTATTGTATT